TTGTACATGCAGATGTAGAGAGACCATGCTACTTCTCTGTAATATCTGAGTTATAATTGGAAGGTCAAACCTGGCTATAAGCGGACTTTTAGCTTCAGAAAGCAAGTAGCCAACAGGGTTGGTGTGGGGGGGCGGGGTTGGTGGTGGGGGCGCTTATGGTCCTCAGGCTTCTATTCCTTGCTGGACAAGGCTGGTTCTTTCTGGGTATGTGGAAATGCTGACTTATCCTGGGCTGCGCGGTATCTGAGAGACTTAGCTCCCTGCTCTGGGAACAATCATTCCATAGACCACACTCATGTAATCAAGTCTCAAGGAACCAGAAACAGGGGTTCTCATTGCAGCAAAGGGTGGGGGAAGATCTCTATTGTTTTCCTTTTCAGAGCTACACCAACTACCTCCTCTCATCTTCAGAACTCTGGCCTGTCTGGAGGCCTATTCCTCACTGGTGCCTGTGAGTCTCAAAGGTCAAAATGAGGTGACCTGAGCTTGAAGGTCTCCAGAAGCACCTCCCTTTCCTCATGGGGGTCACAATTACTTCTCCCCGGGTTCTACCCTCAACTCCGCTACCCATTCCAGATCTCTCAAGCTACTTTCTCAGGTTGCCTCCAGCTCTCCAGACCCTGGCTCTGTGCTCCCTCTCCTGGAAAGAAGATATCCACTATCTGGTGAGAGTCTACCGTGTGCCTGGCATGCATATGTTCTAAGCCCAATATTCCTTCCCAAAAGTCCCATACAGGGTATTTCTGATTTCAACCTCTCATCCGACATTGTTCCCCCTACTCCCCATGTTTCTTAGATCTTCTTAAATCTCACTTTTTCTCCTGTTCATACAGCCTCAAACTCATTCCCTATTGGCCCCTTTCTTCCCTATGCTCCGCTGCACTTCTGGAATGACTCAGCTACCTCCCACTATAGCAGTCCAAAGCTCCAGTAGGACAGGGACTGTCCTTGAGGAGGCAGGAGAGGGCCTACGATCCCAGGCAGGAGGGTGGCCCTCTCATTTGCAGTGCATCACAGTTTCTATTCTCTCATATTCCCTCCCATCCCTCCTCCTACTTGGCTCAGGTTGACTAGCTGCAGAACAGTGAGTGTATAAGGTTTTTATTTTTCCTGGTTGGGGAAGGAGGTGGAGATTGAAGAAAGAAAAGACGGGGCAAGGATGATTGGCATGAGGCCCCACCTTCTTTTGTCCTCCTCCCCTGGTACTCTGGCCCCTCAAGGAAAAACACCTGTTTCAGGCCAGCAGCTGGTGGGGACAGGTTCACGTCTGCTCCTCACACCTCTGCTCCTACGCTGAGGAATTTCCCAGGGGAGCCTGAGAGACTCTTTCTGGAGCCATGAGGGGGACCCGCTGGAGGAGGGTCCCCTGGGTATTCCTGATCTGCTTATGTTCCTGCCTCCTTTGGCCAGTGGTTCTGGGTAAGTGATGCACCTGGGGCAGCATTCTAGGGGCAAGATGGCTGATCCAGAGAGCCCATTAGGGGAGCTGGGGCCTGTTGAGACGGTGCGGGGTGGGGAAGAGAGAGAGACAGAGAGAAGTGAATGAACAGAGATTAGACAAGACAGGGA